TTAATTATTATATAAGTTTATTATATCTGTTATTTAATGTGCACCATTTAAAACTGCTTTTTCTAAATCGATTTTTTAATCATTTCTCAAATATCTACTAAATGCAAATATTATTTCCAATTAAAATAATGTATTTTTATTAAATTTTGAAATTTCCATTTTATTCTTTGTTAATTATTTTATAATTACATAAATATATATACATTTTTTATATTTACTAAATTAAATTTAGTTAAACTCATTTTTTCAATTAAAATTAAATTCTCATAAAATTCTTGTTTGTTTACTTCAATTAAAAATTTAAATATAATATTTAAAAATAAAAATAAAAAATATATTACAATTAACACTATATGATTCAAAAGCAGATAATATAGAAACATCATCTTATAAAAATAAATATTATTAAACTTAAAATTATTAATTCTGTTTTTAAAAAATATTAATAATATGAATTTATATGAAAAAAAAAAATATTTATAATTATAAAAAATTTATATATATATGTATTTAATATATATATATAAATATAATTTATATTTATATTTATATAAATTAATATTTATTTAATTTATATTAATATATTTATATATATTTCTTTATATTATAATTATTAAAATTTACATTTTATAATTATCTCAAACTATTTTTAAAAGCATTAAATTTAGATATTTTTTTATTAACAGAATTTATAGTAAAATCGTTTTTTATTTATTTAAAATTTTTTTAATTATTTCTTTTGTTTAATGAATATTCTAATGAATTGCATATTATTAAATTATATTTAAAGCTGTATAATCATTCTTTTTAAATATTTATAATTAATATATGTTTTTTTATAAATAATAAATATACCAAATAATACATTTTTTAGAAATTTTAAAGGATTTTATCCTCAACAATTTAATACAAATAACGTATAATTTCATTATAAAATTATGCATTTTATTTAAAAATTTCAGAATCATAAAATTCATTAATTTCTTAATATAGAATTTCATTTAAATCATTTTATTAAACTTAAATGCCCATATCCTTGCCATATAAATTTTCAATTTTTTTCTAATCGTATTATTATTCATAATATTAATCATAAGAAATTTAATTAATAAGAGAAGAATTAGCTTTTTTTTTATTTTAAAAATCTCCTGTAATTTTCCTAGTTGTATTGTTTCCTATATATATATATATATATATATATTTATTTATATATATATATATATATATATATATATATATATATATATTTCTTTTTTTAATTTTCAAATTTTTCTTATTAAAAATTACTGCTTTTATTAACTGGTGAAAATTTAAATCCTGTTTCGATTTCTAAATTAACAGTTTTCATTCTTTTTCTTGTGAAAACATCATTATTTTGCTATTATTATTCTTCATTTTATTATTCTTGTTTAAGGTTTAGGTTTTTTTCTGACTTAATTGCTTATAGTTTTAAAAAATATTTGTTTTTGTTTATTTTTGTTATTCTTAATTTTCATTATTAGTTAATTATTCATGAATTTCATTATTTTTTTAAGAAATGGCTTATTAACTGAAATTAATATTATTATTATTTTCTTAAAACTTTAATTTAGATTTTTTTTATTAAATTTATTTTTATTAATTATTAGGTGAAAAGCATATTTACTTTTAATTATTTTCACTTAAACAAGGAGAGTTATTACTATTTGAATCTAAAGGAATGAAACAATCATTTTTTTTTTTTTTTTCATTAGAATTAATATTTAATTTAATTTATTATTATATATGCATTTATAAAGCTTATTTTAATAATTAAATAAAATTTGGAAAATCACATTCAACTCGAAAATGTTAATAAATAGCAAATATAGGAGAAATTTTATTTTCTTTATTATTTTCAATAATTTATAACTCATCATAAGAAAAATTACGGTTCATTTCTTATTAAAATCTACTCATTGAAAATAATTATAAAGGCATAATAATCTTTATTATTGTATATTAAAAAAAATATAAATGTAATTAAATTAATAAATAAATATATAAAAAAATTAAAATTTATTTATATATATAGAAAAAAAAAAAAAAATATATATATATATATATATATATATATATTTATATATAAATATTATATATATATATATATATATTTATATATATATATTTAATTTTATTATATTTGTGTTTTATATTTTTAATAAAAAAATACTTGACTTTATTTTGTATTTTCATCTAATTTTAATATTTCTTAGAAAAGTTATAAAATATCTTAATTTTATTAATTAACTAAATAAATGGCCATTCCTTTTTATTTTTTTATAATAATAAGTTTTTATTAAATACCATATTCTTCTGGTTTAAATTCTGAAATATAATCTTCCATAAATTCTTATGGTGTAATTTCTGATACATCTGTATTTTCTTTATTTTAATTAATATCTACAATATCATAATTTTAAAAGGGTATAATTTTAATAATATCATTATTAAAATTTTAATTCTACTAAATTGTTAATTATTCATTTATATTATGGTTTTATTAATACATTTAAATAGTATGTAAAGGCGAGTCTTCTATAATAATACCTTTATTTTTATTACTACTGTCATTCAATTATTATTATTAGACTTAAGGAGGACTATTTTAATTACTTCCTACAAAATCTAAATTATTAATCAAAAAATTTTCATTATTATTTAAATTATTATTGTTTTCCTAATTTTGTATCGGGGAAGTTTCTTATTAAAAAATATTATTTATTTTAACTATTTAAAATTATTATTATTATTAATGCTATTATTATTATTATTATTATTATTATTATTATTATTATTAATTTAATTTATTTATATTAATATTATTATTTATATCTTCATTTATTATATTTTTATATATTTAATAATTACTATTATCTAATTTATATTGCGAAGCGAGTTTTTTCAAACTTTTTACTAATTCATCTTAATTTCTATCATCTGAAAACACTCCTAATACTTATTAGTCGCTATTATTTATTAATGTTGTAAGAATATTTGTTTCTTTTTATGTTAAAAGCTAACTTTTTAATAAAAATTGTAGATTTTCAAATATTTTTTTTATAGCAGGAAAAGGACTTGTAGGTCTATCTGAATGATTAAATTATGAAGCAATTCTTTTGAGTTTTTTACTAATTAAATATGTATATTATTAAATTGTTAAAAAAATAAAAATACCTTAATGCAGTTTAATTATATTTATTTTATAAATAATCTTCTACTATTTATATTACATTTTAATTTTCTTCAAGTATTAGCTTTTTTATTTATGTTAAAGTAGGAATATCAAGCAAATTATTTGTTTCTAAATCTATTATTGATTATATTATTTATTCTTAAGTACTTTTTTGAAAATAAATATATAAAAAATTAAATTATTATATATATAAAATAATACAATTAAGATTTTTAGTCTAACAATTCTTATTAATCAGGTGATTAAGATTTTAAAAAATCAATAAAATTACTTTTATCAAATTCACTTTAATATGTTTTGTTTTTTAAAATAAAATAAATAAAATAATTTAAAATCAAAAAAAATATATATATAATAAAAATACAAAAATATATAAATAATTATATATATATGTATATAAAAAGGAATATATATATATATAATATATAATATATATATATATTTTTCTATATAATATTTATTTTTATATTTATATAATTTAAATACTTATAATTTTCATAAAATTATCTTAAAAAACAATCGAAATCTTCTAATATTTTGCATTTAAAATACAAAAATTCATATTATGAAATCTCTTAATTTTTTACAAAATCATTCAAAACTATAATCATATCATTGCATTCTGGCATATTTGCCCTTATAGTTATTAATTCATTTAATTCAATTTCCGTTCCTTAAACTGATTCTTCCATTAAAACTTAAAATTTACTTTCATTTATATTAATAAACCTATTAATGATTCTATAAATCCTTTCTATATCATTTTAGAGTGAAATTTCTACTATTTTTTAGCATTTTTTATAAAGTATTATTGATGGGAAGACTTTTATGTTGACAATATCTTCTTTAGAATTTACATAATAGACAAAAAAATCGCATTTTTATTAATATTAATTGGCTATTTAGTTAATTATTTTTATCAAATCAATTTAATTTTCATATATAAGGGCTACTATAACTACCCTAAAATCTTCGAATTCAAAAGAAACTTATTCCCAGAGTTAATAATTAGTAATCAGAGTAATAAAATTTGATAAGTTTTCTGTATTTTTTTAATTAGAATTAAGTATATTGGAATTATTTGTTAATACCATACTATTTTTGCTATTAGAAACTATCATTAAATTTTCGTTGTTTAGATTTTCGCGATATCTAGAAAAATTTTTGCTTTAGTTTTAGAGATTTTCCGAATTTTCGGCTATTACAGTATATGTTTCATTTTATTTTATTTATTATTTATTTTACCAAAAATATTAGAGTTTATAAAAATTATTCTTTTTTTTTTTTTTTTTTTTTTTTTTTTTTTTTTA